GAGGCCCCCCCCCATAGCACCCCCAGCCCCCAGTCTCTTTAAGGAGATGTGTTACCGATACAGAGAAGATCTGATGGCAGGAATCATCATTGCAGGCTGGGACCCTCAAGAAGGAGGGCAGGTCAGGCCCTCCTGCACCAGAGCTCTTCACTCTCCTCAGCCATTTAGTGTGTCTGTCCATCTGTCTTGTCCTGTTGCACATATTCTGTGGGTGTCCGCCATGTAGAGGCAGATGCATGCGTGTAGAGGCCAGAAGTCTGCTGGCAATGTCTTCTGTTCTCAATTCATTTCTTGAGATGGTCACTCTGAACATAGAGCTGGCTAGACAATGAGCTCCAGAGATTATCCCCTCTGCCCCCTTCTCCCGGTCCTGGGGTTACAGACATGCCTGGCTTTAAATAGTGCTTGGGATTTGAAATCAGTTCTTCATGCTTGCCTGGTAGGGACTTTACCACCTAAGCCAACCTCAGTCCCACTCCAACCATTTTTTTGGTTTTTCTGTCTCTACCTTACCATAAACTTTCCCCCAGACCAAAATCAAAAGGGACGGGCAAATGTACATGTGTTGGGTGTAATTGATGTTTTTTCTCCCCCCTCTCCCACAGGTGTACTCAGTTCCCATGGGGGGTATGATGGTAAGGCAGTCGTTTGCCATTGGAGGCTCTGGGAGCTCATATATCTATGGCTATGTTGATGCTACCTATCAGGAAGGCATGACCAAGGATGAATGTCTGCAGTTCACTGCCAATGGTGAGAATTTGGGCTTCTAGACCTGTGAACCTCAGCCCTCATTATCCAAGTCACACTAAGATTCCTTATTCCTTGCCATATTCTCAGCACCTAACTCCAAACCCAATTTCCTGCTTTTATCTACAGCTCTCGCTTTGGCTATGGAACGGGATGGCTCCAGTGGCGGGGTGATCCGATTGGCAGCTATTCAAGAATCAGGGGTAGAGCGGCAGGTACTTTTGGGAGACCAGATACCCAAATTCACCATTGCTACTTTACCACCTCCCTGAATCCTAGTATTAGGGTATAATAAAAGATATTCTTACTGATGCAAAAGTTAATAAACAGTTTGTCAAAGATGTTTCTGTTTAGAGTCCTTTTTTTCTTGACTTCAAGCTTGAACTTGTCAGGTCCATTCTCATGTGCAAACTGCTGCACTGAGCTTGGGAATTGGAGAGTAATGAGGAAGGCTTATAGATGCTCTGTTCCATTATTGTTATTGAATTATTTTTGGTTGATTAGGTTCTTTTCATTACTGATTTTATGTGCATTGGTGTATGTTTGTGTAAGGGTGTTGGATCCTCAGCAACTTGAGTTACAGATGGTTGTGAGCTGCCATGTGGGTGCTGGGAATTGAACCCAGATTCTCTGGAATAGCAGCCACTGCTCTTAACCGGTGAGCCATCTCCAGCCCCTTTTTCTTTTTTGTGATTAGATCTTTTATAGCCCAAGCTAGTCTTGAACTTGGGGCAATCCTCCTGCCTTTGCTTCTTGAGTGCCCAGGTCACAGGTGTGTACTGATGTATCTGGTTAGTAGTTTTGGATCTTTTTCTGTAGATCATATTTACTCTACATACCCAGGTACCCGAACCACTGGAATGTGGTTGATATAGGAGCTGCAGCAACATCCCAAGTCCCAGCTAAAACTCAGAATTATGAGACTGGGGTCACCTCCCCTGCTGCCAGTCATCATGGTGACTGCTGACTCAGGTTAAAATTTCCCCCAGGCCAGCATCTTGGTCCCCTCTTTCCCTCTGTCACTTAATCTTTATCACACAACAATTCGACTTCTTTGTCTTTAGGGCAAGAGGTGGGCCTTGTCTGCAAGTGAAAAAAATTAAGGGGGATGCTGGGTGGCAGAGGGCAGCCACAGGGAGTGCTTTGGCCTTTTCTGTAAACCACCGTCCTCATGAGGCTGAGAATGGGTTCCAGCCCCTTTAGAGCTATTCCCTTTCAAACCGAGGACCTAAAGGAGCTCAAAGGTGCTCAATATCTCCATCTTTCCAGTCTTATTTTCTATAGTCCATTGGTCAGGGAACTAGAAGCCACATTTACAAACCTTGTTCTAGAGTAGTTCAGAGGGCAGGAAGGACGGTTCCTATAGACTCTCATTCCTAAGGGAAGAAGAGAGGAAGATAAAATACCCCAATGAGCAACTCGAGGAAGGTTGATTATAGCTCATTCTGAGATTATCATGGCAGAGGGGACATGGTGGCAGTGTGAAGCCACTGGTTACTTTATACCCATGAGCAGGAAGTAGTGCTGCTTGGCTCTCTTTTGTGTTTGTTTATTCTGGGACTCCAGCCCATGTAATGGTGTAACTACATTTAGGATGAATCTCTCCACCTCAGTTAACCCAACCTAGAAACCCCTTCAGAGACATGTCCAGAGGTTTGTTTTCCATGATGGTTCTAAAATCCCAGGTGACAATATAAGCCACTACAAGCAGTAAGGTCCTAGTTAAGTGAAAAGAACAGAAAGGGATGTTAACTAGAAATACTGTAGATTTTCATGCCCAAACCCATTCTCCCTGAGTCCTCTCTCTTGTACTTAACCTAACAGTTCAGCTCTAGAAAACTTTCTGAAAGTATATAACCATCTCTGAACCCCTGCCCTTATGAAACCTAACTATAGAGCAACCAAAAAGATGTTTGTAAATATGAGCCCATGTTGCTTCTCTGCAGCAGTTCTCAGTGTCAGACCAGGTGTAGCACTCACCTTTAATACTAGGCAGAGGCAGATGGTTGCCTGAGTTTGGGGCCAGCCTGGTCTACATAGGAAGTTCAGAGTCAGCCAGGGATACCTAGTGAGACCCTGTTTCTAAACAATCACAATCCCCCCACCCCCAAGACAAAAACATTCCTTGGGATCCTCCCATTCCACCTAGAATACTGACTACTTACAACCTAGGAGACCAAACAGCTGCCTCAGCTTTGACAGTAGTCACTGGTGCTTTTCCTTTTTTTTTTTTTTTTTTTTTTTTTTTTTTTTTTTTTTTT